ACTTCAAGCCCTCCTTTAAGCTCTTCCCAAGATGCTCTTCATTCGGATCTCGGCTTAAACTTTATCAATCTTGATGTAACGTTGAGAAATGCTTTGATCGACCCACTCCTTTTATGTCAACGAATCCCGGTGAGATTTGAGCGGCTAAACATACCCTATCTGGCGCACTCATTCCATCAATTTCCAGATGACTTGGGATTCTCTACAAACAGCTCCAGATATTAACACTGCTTTTCGATATATCTATTGTCGACAAACTGTTCATTATATTGATTGGCTTTCATCATTAGGAGATGTTCATTTATTGGATCAACGAGATAAGGTTTGAAGAAAAAAAGCTTTAGAACTAAAGAACTAAAATGATGAAATAAGATCTTCAGTCATGTCATACCTTAATTTATATTTACAGTATCGCTTCAAAGTTTTGAAAAGCAAGTTTGTTTACTTTTTCTTTTAAATTCCAGCTAATGCTGATCAGTGCTGGTTTATCTCACGTTCAACTGTTGATGATGTTTTATCACACTTATCGAACAGGCAGCTCTGGTATTGCTTATTCTCTCGGATATCACTATTCAATTAAAGGTCAAGGCGCCGGGACAGAGTAAGCGAGAAATCTTTGCAAAAGTAAAATATTATAACTTTAGATTCGAAAACTTTCTTGATGCGTTAGCAAAATATGGTCACGATATGGTTATTGCCGAATTTCGGAGGCTTGATATAAAACCGGAAGAGTACATTCTTTTGAAGACGATCACGCTGTATTCTTGTTGTAAGTCTTAGACTACAAAGTCAAAGATTTATCCTAAAGATACTGTAAAAATGGAAATTTCTTTCTTACTACGGTATGCCAAGAACAAAGTGTTACGCTGAAAGAGTGAACCTCTTGAAGAATACACACAATCAGTTTAATTACCATAGTACGAGAAGAAATCCGACCTTTACGGTATCTTCAATGTTACTGTTACAGTAATCATCCCAAAATTGCAGCAATGCGTCTCACCGATTCCGGCATGGAAGTCGTACGAAGGGCAAGACAAAAGCATGAACAGGTACAAATATTTCCATGGATATAAAGTTTGTAAATTTTCAGATCTTGGTCGAATATATGAAAGAAGAATATTCGGGTTGGACCGATGAACAGAGATCGGTTCGAGTTCACAGCATTTTGGCCCTCAAAAACTATTTGAGGGTTGGTTTACACAATCCTAACTCCCGATAATACAATACTTTTACTACGGCAACTGTTTATGAAGTCTAAAATCTGTTATAGTTCAAAGCAATATATCAAAATATTTCACTTTCAGAATATGGCCCTAATGGACAATTCTTATCTCGGAAGAATGGTGGCTTTGAATCAATGTCAAATGAGATGCCAGATAGCATACGATGTACATTTGAAGGAATTTTAAATTGCCGTTTAACATATTTATAAACATTTGAATTACACAAAAGACCCGTAAAACGTGAAATTAAAATCGACGAAAGTATAATACCATATCTATAAATGAACTTTAAAAATTAGAGATCAAATAATACCGAACATGTAAAAAACTACCGTAATTCATTCATTCACACAATCAGTCCTCCATGGGTGTATTTTCTTCGCGATCATCTTTCACTTTCGAGTCCTCCTCTGAGTCACCGGAAACATCAAAGAGCTGGTCGTCATCTTCTAAAATATTCGAAAATGAATGAAGAATCTAAGTTAATCCACATTGAACAGAAAGAAACAGAACCGCAAGATCCATAAATATTAAGAAAGCCAACTAACCCCGTAAATATTGGTGCACATTGCTAATAATTTGTTCCAACTCATAAAGGCGTTGTCGTCTTTCACTCAACTAAATAATAACATTAATAGATCCTTTGACTTAAACTATAAAGCTAGATAATCTGATGACTATGTATACCTTATCCTCGAGCAATTGTTGTCGCTGTTGAAGGCGTTCCAATTCATCATTTACCTCTTCGAGTTTTCTAAAACCAGCTAACTCACGGAATTTTATCAAATTCAAACCGTGTTGTTTCGGGACGGCTCGGAAATTCTTCGACTTTCTTTCCAAGTGCGTCGTATTCTTGTTTGTTCTTGCGGACTATTCGAGCTTCGGCCAGTGCAACTTCTGCTTCTTTCATCTTTTGACGAGTTTCCGCAATCTGAAAATAGATTTTTAAAGTTTATATGTATATTTGACTAAAAATCAAAAAACATAAGTCTTGAAAAAATTTACTTGATCCTCTATAGCTTGGCACTGCTCTTCGTATTCTTTTTGCTCTTTCACGCACAAATCCGCGATCAGCGCTTGTTTCTGAATGAAGATTTCGAGGGTATCCAACTAAAAAAGGTAATGTATTACAAGAACCAATATTAAACGAATACCTCTTTTAAAATAGCTGTGGCTTGTGTAGAAACCGCTCCCTCCTCGACTTGGGTTGTTTTGAAGGCAGCCAACATCCTTGTAAATCTTCGATCCTCGTTGCCACCATCGTCGAATTGCAGTTTCCGCATTATCGCGGCCTCTCGTTTGGTCGTCGCCATCTGAATTAGAACTAAAGCTTTATGAAAGACGCATAGAGTAACACCAACAAAAAGACAGGTAACAAAAATTAATAATTAAGACTAGAAATGCACCAAATCAATCATGATTGAGCGGAATATTGATATTTTTCGTAATTTCGCGGAAAGCGGCAATATCCGAGTATTGTCTCTCATCCAGCGATAATAACAAAGGACGTCCTTTCACAAAGCATGTAGCCAATGGTATCCAAACTTTCTTCAGCTCTGGAGCGACAGCCGCGTCGACGACTTCATTCGGAGAAAATTGCAACGCCCGTTTCCTCAGTATAAAGTCGTAGTGGATGGTCGTGACAATATTCTTTGCTTTATTGTATCGGACATCAATTGGAAAACGTTTCGCCAGCATATGTAGCAGAAAAGGAGTGAAAGAAAGAAGAACTAGAAATCCGTTTGCGACAATAGCAAAGGCCATAGTAGCTGGTCGTTCTTGAGCCGCTTCCCATAAATACGATGATAGAATAGGCACCATAGCTGCTCCTGCTACTGAAGAAGCCAATGATAGAAGTTTCGCCGTGAAAACTCCACTTGCTATCATTTCGTGCGCCGTCTTTGTCGATCCAGGTGGAAGATCCTTCCGAGTCAACAATATCGAAGGGCCGATTTCCGCGCCTGACAATGAAGATAACGCCTTGAGAGAACTAGATGAATCGGAAGAGAGCCGCAGTGCTCGAGCAATGGCTGGCCTACAGAACGTCCGTGAACAAATGGGAACGCAACATGCCCGGGCGAACATCTTAAAAATGCATTTGAACATTGACACTGGTTTGCTTATTGATAATAAAAATTTTATTTGAGGACAACAGTTGGACGCATTTCCTTTCAATAAATAAGAACAATTTATTCAAAATCAACAGTAAGGCTTTAGGCTTGAGACTCGCTCTTGGCGTGGTGGTTCTTGTTGTGACGCTTGGCAAATCTGAATAATAAAAGTCATTCAAAGAGAAAAATAACATAAGACTCAGCTTTTATAAATAGTCTACGTCATTAAATGTAACTAAAAATCAAATCACAAACCGAAGATTCTTGAGGAATTTGGGGTCGACTCCCTTCATCGACATGTATCTTTGCTTCTTTGGCCTCTTGATTCCGTTGCGGTGAGCCTTCTTATCTACAGAAATAACATTATACCAGAACAGACCCCTACGTTACACCTTATACGAGCACAAAGCACGATTGTTTTTGAACGTGTTTAATTCTATCCGAGTGTAAATCGAGTTTCTAGAGGTTAAAAGGGCGAGGCTCTATGCCCCTAGGCTTCATAAAGATTCATTCGCAACCGTTCTATCAATTACCTACCTAGCGTCATTAAATCAATGTTTGAAACGGATCACCGTGTACAAAACACAATGCCTAAGTCTAAAGTGATGCTGCCCTCGGGAGAGAACATTTCAATCGCAAACCCATAGTACTATTTCCAAGTTAGTGAAGCTTAAACCAATAAATGATAACAAAGTGAGCACAAAACCCCAACTTTAGAAGTGATTCCGTTTAAAATTAGCAAACAAACTCACTCTGGTTGTGATTGGTGTGATTCTTTGACTTGGCCATCGTGTAGAGGTCGTTCAAGAAAGATTTCTTACCTGAAAAAAATAAAAAATTAACTTGTCAGCAAAAAAAACAGACGCAGAAAAGTAAAGCAACTGAGAATAACGCAAATAAATTCCGCAAAACGAATGAAAAATCGAAAAATGCCACTTCTTTGCAAAAATTTGGACTTACGCCGAAACGTAAAGGGTACGGTAGAAAGGCCACACTTTAAGTGGTCGCAACTACAAACATTGAGATATTCAATAGTTTAAAGTGTTGTCGCAGTATAAAGAAAGTGTTTTTAACACCGCCGTTTTATTTTTTGCGAATCTTTCTGCCGCTCTAATCTTTTTACTTTCAGGATCCACCAATGCCAATCTACAATCTCTACATATTCAATCGCGAGGGTGGCTTAATATACTACCGCGAGTGGCGACGAGAGAAACAATCGGGAATCAGTCGAACAGAGGAAGGGAAACTATTTTTCGGAATGTTGTTATCCATGAGAAAATTCGCGGAACGACTCTCGACACGCGATGGACAACAAACGATCAACTATTTCAAGACGTCCACATACAAATGCTCGTATTTGGAAACGGCGACCGGTCTTCATTTTGCGATCAACACAAATCCCGATGCATTTGGAGGCCAAGAATTGCTACAAGAGATTTACAAGATTTACGTCGAAACGGTGATAAAGAATCCGCTATGTGAGCCAAGCTCGCCGATTGAAAGTGAACTTTTTGCGTCCAAAGTCGATTCTCTAGTTACCAGGCATTCCGCGTTTGTTTGAACTTGTATGTTTCGTTGTGATATTGTACTTTAGCATATTTTATGATAATTTTGATATTTATTACGGGTCCTATATACGTTTTTCTTTTTAAAGTATAAATTTTAGATGATGGACGACGAGGGAAAATTCGTGATTCCTGGGGAGGTGATCTACGACGCAGAGGAAAAGAAAACCTACGTGCCCGGCAAAGGATGCTATCAGATGCAAGGACTTGTTCGTGCCTCGACCATCGGCTATGTACACATTCATCCACATAAACAGGTATTATTCAAGTGCTTCTCAAAAATATGATTTAGGTGATGCAGTTGGAGGTTTATGCTTTAAAATTTGAAAAATCTATTTGTATTTTAGGGAGAGAAGACGATACACTATGTAGATGTTCAAATCGGGGAGAAAGTGGTCGACACAGTAATGCCCGAAGAAGGAACCATCGTCACGGCAATGTAATTTTTTAGTTTTAAAATGTGTTTTTGAATAATTTAATATAGATATCTATTCCTGATTTTAGTGTAAAAGATGTTGGGCAACAATGGGCCGGCTGCCATCTACTTTCGATCGAGGACCGCAAAATTTCCAAAGACTTCGACTACATTCTACCGAAAAAGAACATGCGAAGCTCGTTGTTCTTAAGTGATGTTGGTGCTATTTTTTATTTTATTGATACAAGATATTTTTTACTTTACACCCAAGCTATAGATAATTTTTATTGTATCCGTTTGCTGCAAATAAATTATATATTTAGATTGAAATTCTCGATTGTGTGCAACCCTGTGACATCATTCTGGCCCGAATCGTCGACTATTCTTTCCAAAAACGAGCGTATGTTCTGTCGATAGCCGAAGACGAATTAGGAGTGGTGAGTCTTGTTTTTACTTTTGATATTTTATTTTATAGACACCAATTTTTGTCAAAATCAACCAATTTAGGTTTATGCAAAAGGACGCAAATCTCGACTTCGCCCATTGGACTTCGAAACAGTAATTGATGATCTCACTGGAATAAAAGAAAAACGGAAAATTGCAAAAGTTTGCTTTAAAATTAGTTTTCTTTTTACTTTTAAATTAAGCTTACAAAAAAGCTTTAGGTTCCTATGCACTTGAACGACGAGCTTTTCGCGAAATTAATACAACCAGGAGAATCGACGGCGTAAAGAATTTTCAATTTTTACAGTACTTTTGTTTTTTTGTTAAGTTGTTATCTATTTACGGGTTTTGTTATTTTGCTTTGTTGATTTGATAAAGTTGTCTTATTGATTGATTAATGAAGATTCTGATGGACTTTCCATTATTTCATTTTTCAAAATTTTCAAACGTGGAGTCTATACTAAGGTTAAGAATTGTCATGTGATGACTGCACTCACGGAAGAGGTGGCCGCTTCACCTCAAGGTTCGGATTAAAAAATCATGTGAATGTAAAGTGCGTATCAAAAACAGATCTAACTATAAGCATTTTATGTAAAAGGTATTTCGGCAATTACAGATGGAACTTCCGAAGAACCGTCATCAAAAAAGAAAAGTCGCTCACTGTTCAAACCAGGGATACATCGGTAAAATCGAAAAACTATGCAAAATCAAACAAAAAGTACAGATCAAGTCCGAATCCCGAATGTGATAGTGATGGTTGGATTGCCGGCCCGGGGAAAACCTATATCTCAAAGAAGTTATGTCGATATCTGAAATGGATTGGAGTGAAAACAAGAGGTAGTCAAAGACGTATTTCCAACAGATCAAAACTGGAAAAGACTCGCGAATGAGACAATTTCTAGCTTTCAATGTTGGTGAGTATCGCAGAACGGAGGCTGGTGCATCGGATGCAATCCACGGTGCAAGTGCCAACTTTTTCTCACCCGACAACGAGGATGCGCAAAGGATTCGAGCGTCAGTTTGGAAAAATATTAGAAGTGTTCATATTTCCTTCAGTTTAAGCAGTAAGTTTTTCAAAAAGCAATTTAGAGAGTGTGCTAGAAGAGCAATGGAAGACATGGCAGCCTATTTGGAGAGCAGTGGAGGAAATGTTGCAATTCTCGACGCTACAAACACCACTCGAAAGCGACGAGCCACTGTTGTGGATTTCTGCGAAAAGAAAGGGTTTGTAAAGTTTCGCTAAAACTTAAAACTAAAAAAACTAAAATTTAGCTTTCGTTGCTTTTTTCTCGAAAGTGTTTGCGACGATCAAAAGATTATCGAGTCGAATATCACCGATGTTAAGGTAAAATCGCCTACAAAGCTTGATTTCTAATGTAAATCAGGTGAACTCACCCGATTACAAAGGTTTGATGTCAGCCGAGCAAGCAAAAGAGGATTTCGTGAAACGGATCGAGAACTACAAGGCACAATACGAGCCAATGTGTGAATCGAATGACTCGGATCTCTCTTTCATCAAGGTACTGTAGCTGTAGTAATCCGTTGTTACTTTGTCCCTAGCTAACCTTTTAGAGAATACAGTCTATCCTCAAAGTGATACACAAATGACTTTAGGTGCTCAACGCTGGGAAATCGTTCTTCGTGCACAACGTTCACGGCCATATCCAATCGAGAGTCGTCTACTTCCTGATGAACATCCATCTCCTCCCAAGGAGCATTTATCTGACAAGAGTACTAACACTAAATCGACAAATAGTCACTTAAATTTCAGCACGGTCAATCCGAATACAATGCAATGCATCGAATGGGCGGTGATTCACCGTTGACTGAAATCGGAAGGAAATATGCAGCTGCTTTGGGAGAGTGAGTACTGAATGAACTCTCAAAAAAGCTCTCTTTTAGATTTTTCAAAAAGGAGAAGATTCCCGATTTGAGGATTTGGAGTAGTCAAAAGGTAGTTTACGGGGGGAACGGGGAACTGGCTATGAGAAAACTACAGATTCGAGCGGCGCAAACAGCTCGCGAGGTGGCCTCAGCAGCGGCACACGTTGAGTACTGGAAAGCTTTGGATGAGATCGACGCGGGGATTTGCGAGGGACTCACCTATGCAGATATAGAACAACGGTCAGTGAATATCATAGCGCCTAGCCAACTACTCCATTCAGATATCCAAGACAGTCTGAAGATCGAGCCCGTGACAAGTACCACTATCGGTATCCATCAGGTGAAAGTTACGAAGACGTGGTCTCCAGATTGGAACCGGTGATCATGGAGTTGGAAAGACAAGTATTATAAAAGAGTACCGCAAAACGCAAATGTGCGTCTTCAGACCGATGTACTGGTGGTTGGGCATCAAGCGATCTTGCGCTGTATTCTCGGTTATTTCTACGATAGGCCGTTGATGGAGTTGCCCTATTTGGACTGTCCACTTCATTCACTCGTTAAGCTCACCCCTCGTGCATATCATTGTGATTCGACCATCTACAAGTATGATGTGCAAAGTGGAAAGGTGAGTGAACAAGCTTTAGGGTACTGTAACGTCCTAGTTCAAACTTTAAACTCAAATTTCAGTGGACCGAGCAGCATCGTCAACTCGCCCTTTGTGCCAGTCCAAAATAGATGCTTTTAGGAATGATTTCTTTTCGATTTTACTTTTGCCACAATTTTCTACCGGTAAAAATCCCAGCCTAGAACCGCCATTGCCGAACAAAACACTAGTCGATCAAAAGAGATATCTTATCAAATAAAGCAAATTTTCCAGAACTTGTGTACAAAGAACATTTGTTGACTACCAAAAAAAAAGAAAACAAAAGACAGAGTTTCATGAATTCTTTGAAAGCAACATTAATATACAGTAATCATTTTACCATCATTTTATCATTTTAAAAATAGTTTAAGGACACTGCTTTGTTTCAATCACATAGGTGCCAACAATGTCCGAATACGATCCATTATTTCCCGCATTTTCTCCCGAGTGTTTGTATCTAAAAGACATTTTTTTAAACAGCTCCATTATCTCTTATTTTATCGCAATTCCAAAAGAAAGCTCGTAAATTAAAGTTAAAATAATCTCAGAATTCTCACTTAAAACAAGCCCTCCACTCGTTGTTCAATGTGAATTTCTTTCGGTTGAATTGTTCTCCCGGGATGTCCAACGACGAAAAGATTACCTAACGAAAAATTGAGACAAAGGCTTGAGTCGAACTTATGAACAGGCTATTCAAGTAGGTGAAACAAACCTGTTCATAAAACTCGTCAATCTTTTGAACACTCTTCGATCTTCCTCTTGCCCCACAATCGGTGTTCACTGGTTGATCCATGATCATCGTCATCAAAGTTGAACTAAAACGCAATTGACTTCTTTTATGTATGAATTTTCGCAAACAACTCTTACCTGTGCAATCTCACAAATGTCGTATTCTTTCTTCCAGAAAGCCTGAAAATGCTATCCAATCGAGACATCCACCTAAACTACTTTTTTAAAGCCACCTTATAACTCAGTAAAAAGTACCTCGTTGCTTTGGTAAGAGTATTTTCCGAGTTCGTTTTCTTTTTGCCATCGACGAGCTGCAGAACACAGTGTCCTAAATGATTTTAAACTTTTAAAATTCATCGAAACACCCCCCACCCTCTCGGCGTTGATGTGTTCTTCCCGAATCGCATCTACTCCACGGCTCCCATCGAAAAGCCAACGCCACATCCGTGTAGAATGGTCTCTAAAACGTAAATATTAACTCTAAAAATGTGAAATTGAAGGCATTTCATTAGCTATTTTCATTGAAATTTGAACAAAAAAACTAGCATCATTGATCGATCGTTTAAAAACATGCAGATGTATCGCAGTCTCCGGCACTTTTCGTATTGCTAGGCCACTGGTGTTGGGGTGAAGTTTCTAAAGTTACCTTGAATGCGCTGAAAAGAAATGGATTACCAGATATTGTTCGCATTTAAGATCACCCTTATCACAGATAGGCTCATTTTCGGGTTTATAGATGATGGGACGCCAGTTGAATTTCCATTGAGTATCCGGGTACATCTAAATGTTAATTAGTAATATCCAGTGTCGCTGAATGGAAAAACTGGCACTTACTTCGATAAAATTTACTTTAATATCCTTAATCACTCACATAAATCGGTTTCCCGCAGCCATTGGGACACTGATGTGGAGAATTTAATAAACCCTTTTTGTCCGGCAATTCACAGACCATTTTGCCTGAAATGTGCAAGTTTAGAAAGAATTGTTAAAACTGACCCATATCCGGACTCAGCTGAAGACGATTCTTTAAATTAGCATCATCCATCCAATTCACTCGATTGATCGGCGTCATTGCGTGGAGAATATAGAAATAGCGGACCTAGACATGGGTAAAAATTTCATTGCCGCTGTGAAAGTATACCAAATGGATCGCGGTGTCCTCGTAGCAAAAATATACACCAGCCGCCCTTACTTCAGCCTAAAAAATCAGCTAAACTTACAACTAAACACATAAACTTACCTTATGAATGTGTAACGTATTGCCAATAGGTTCCAACTTTTGTGATCGGATATGGGGGAAAGATCCGTTCTCTGTGACCTGAATTCTAAAGAAACAAATTTTTCTAAACAAACAAGACAATAAGTACCTTATTTTTTTTAAAAAAACAATAAACGAACCGATTTCCGGGCATGTAAGGCCCATCAGACTTCTCTGGTCCCTCGAATTCGCCCGATCTTGTATGCAACCCGGACTTGAATCGTAAAAATTGCACGCCAACATCCGCGGGTTGCAACTTCTAAATGTGGCAACAATAGCAGAAAGTCGAAAAGAATTGTACCTTATTCTTCTGGTAATGATCGAAAAAGTCGTATATATTTGCGGCCCAACCCCACGTTTTGATCTTCCCATTTGAATCGAGACCTCTAAAATTCGAACAGAACATTTTATTTAGATCCTATTGACGAAACTAACCGTTGACAAACTTTGCACGTGATAGAAATATGATCGCCAGGCCAGTAATAGATGTGTTTTACCTAAAGAAACCTTTATTGTTTATACAAAGTTTATATTAACCTTCATTTGAAGACCATTCTCTCTACATTCAGCCACTTCAGCGCCTTTGAAACCATCATGAATATACCTTAAACGAAAAATTATTAAATTCTGTAATTTAGCAGAAGTAAAGGCATTGCTAATTGTTATAGTACTACTGCATAAGTTTATTTTACGCTAAAAACTTAATTGAAACAAGTAACAAGCTGCAAATCCATTTATTTCTTGAACCCACAAACCTCCATACTCGAAACGATCTGATCTTGTCGGTATACGGGAAAGGGAAAGAATTCTAAAGCAAAGGAAGCTAAAAATTAAACATAAACATTGAATTTCATGTTATTCTACGTACCAAAAAACGACAATAAGCTACTCACCCCGAACGGAAACCGTTTCGGATTGATCAGATCATCTAATACATTGTCCACCTCGCGAATCACTGGTGTAGTAGTTGGCTAAATTAGTACTATAGGCTTGTGCGGGGGGGGGGAGCACTTTCAAACCCAACGTTTTGAATGATTGTAATGATTTGAATTCCAAATGTGAGCAACGACATCATGCTGAGTGCAACAAGTTGGGAAATCATCGAAAAGATGTATCCAAAAAGTGTTGAAACGACTACCAATTGATTCAGCCCATTTGATTTCCCTAGAAGAAAGAAATCAAATGGGCTGAATCGATCGGTAACCGTTTCAACACCTTTTGGATACATCTATTGGATGATTTGCCAACTAATTGCACTCCCACCACCCAGCTTTATCTCGTTGCTCACATTTGGAAATCAAATAGAAATAGAAATTGAAATTGAAACATGCTGGGAATACGCTTAACATAGTATGCACTAGCTTAGCAGGCTTAGATTTTTTTCAGAATAAAGAAGAAATACAATCATTTAAAATATTGGGTTTGAAAGTGTCCCCCCCCACAAGCCTATAGTACTAATTTAGCCAACTACTACACCAGCGATTCGCGATGGAGACAATGTATTAGATGATCTGATCAACCCGAAAGGAGATCCGTGTTCCAAGGTTAAAAACGCATAAAAATATACCAATTTCGTCGTCTGATTACCGTCTTTTCTGGCGTTGACGAAAAGTCCTGCTCGAAACGACAAGAGAGTTGCTAACTAAAACAAAGAAAAATTTAAAAAGATAATGAAGTTTATTTTACAAAAAAACAACATTAAAAAGTACCAATACAAAAAGAGAGTAGAGGCGCTGAACGGGCATCATGATAAAATGATTTTAAAAAAATTTTTGATTTGTGAAATTTAAACAAATGTAAATTTTGAATGCAAGCGTCTCAATCAACTATAAGAATTCTTTAGCTTTCAATGCTTCTAAAAATAAACTTTTCTTCGTTGTAGTCAAAAGAAAAGGGATAATAGCGGAAACACATAAAAAGGCATTCATAAGAAATTTGCGACCTCTTTATGCAGGTCTTCGAATCTTCGAGTCCAAGTCTTCGAATAAGTTTTAAAAAAGGTTTGCCCAACCAGTTATGAAAACCTGATGAAAACTACCGTAAATACTGTAATACACTGTGGTGCAAAAGTCCTGTCCCACTTACTTTTCTGATACATTTTGTCAAAATTCTAAAATTTTTCGAAAACAACTTTTTGAGTAAAGGGGTTTTTCTGAACCCTAAGTTGTAAGCTTTCATATAAATAAGTTTTTAGGTTTTAAAAATTTATTACCTGAAAGAAAATAACAAATAAAGTTTAACATCAAAAAATATATGGTGCAAAAGTCTTGTCCCACCATTAAAAAAGGAAAGCTAGATTAATATTTGGTCGGTCCTCCTTTAGCCAAAATCACTGCTTGAATACGTTGAGGCATTGAGTCGACCAAATCACGTAGAATTCCCGAAGAAATTTGTCGCCAAACGTTTCTGATAAAGAACCAAAGCTCGACCTTTGTGTTGAATATCTTACCCTTGAGTTTAGTCTTTAAATGGGCCCAAAGATGCTCTATAACATTCAAATCCGGCGAATAAGGAGGCACTTTGATTAATTTTACACGATAAGCAACAAAAACGCCGGGTAGGCGAGCTCTTCCTCCATTTGTAAGTCGGACAACTCGGCCCATCATTAGCTGGCTTTTGTTGCATGAAGTGTTGTCTTGATATAAGGCCCATCCTTGTGGCATGTTCGTGTTTTCAAATGGAATTAAGTTGTTTTCTATGATTGACTTGTACCTTTGAGCATCGAGATTTCCATTGATAAACACTAGCGGTCCCGATACACTTCGATTCATCGAGCCTAAAAAAGACAAATCGTAAGTGAAAGATAGAGCGAACACTTACCCCACAACATAATGCTCCCACCACCGAATTTGACCGTTGGCTTAACGTATTTGAGCTTATACCGTTGTCCAATTGGTCTTCTGATTAAATGATTACCGTCCGGGTAGTATAAATTAATTCTAGTCGATATAGACGAGCGGCCTCGAATAGAAGACGGGGTCTAGGGGGTGATTGAAAAAATACAAGGCCGGTCTTCTATTCGAGTAAATACGGTAAATGGATTTGCAGCTTGTTGCTTGTCTGAGTTAAGTTTTTAGCGTAAAATACGTTTATGCAGTAGTACTATAACAATTAGCAATGCCTTTACTTCTGCTAAATTACAAAATTTTATAATTTTGCGTTTTAGGGTATATCCATCATGGTTTCCATGATGGATGGTTTGATTTCTTTTCTTTTTTTTTGTTTCCATTTCATGGTTTGATTTCTCTAAAAGAAAGAAAATTGCCCGTACAGTCATTCGAAATGTTTCTACTTTTCGACCCATCGACCCATCGATTCATCCTATTTGATTTCTTTAAAAGAAAGAAAATTGCCAGTACAATCATTCGAAATGTTTCTAATGATTGTGCTGGCAATTTTCTTTCTTCTAGGGAAATCAAATGGGCTGAATCGATTGGTAACCGTTTCAACACCTTTTGGATACATCTATTCAATGATTTGCCAACTTTTTGCACTCAGCATTATCTCGTTGTTCACATTTGGAAATCAGATAGAAATAGAAATAGAAATAGAAATTCAAACAGGCTGGGAATACTCTTAATATAGTATGCACTAGCTTAGCACGCTTAGATTTTTTCAGAGTAAAGGAAAAATATAATCATTTAAAACATTGGGTTTGAAAGTGCTCCCCCCCCCACAAGCCTATAATACTAATTTAGCCAACTACTACGCCAGCGATTCGCAATGGAGACAATGTATTAGATGATCTGATCAATCCGAAAGGATTTCCGTTCGGGGTGGGTAGCTTATTGTCGTTTTTTGGTACGTAGAATTATTTGAAATTCAATGTTTATGGTGAATTTTTAGGAGGTGTGGCCTGATGAAAAACCTGATTGGCCCGACATCACATCGATCACATCGTTTCGATTATGGAGGTTTGTCGGTTCAAGAAATAAATAGATTTCCAGCTTGTTACTTGTTTGAGTTAAGTTTTTAGCGTAAAAGAAGCTTATGCAGTAGTACTATAACAATTAGCAATGCCTTTACTTCAGCTAAATTACAAAATTTTATAATTTTGCGTTTTAGGTATAACCATCATGGTTTCCAAGGCGCCGAAGTGGCTGAATGTAGCGAGAATGGCATTCCAAGGAAGGTTAATATAAACTTTGTATAAACAATAAAGGTTTCTTTAGGTAGAACACATCTATTACTGGCCTGGCGATCATATTTCTTTCACGTGCAAAGTTTGTCAACGGTTCGTTTCGTCCATAGGGTCTAAATAAAATGTTCTGTTCGAATTTTAGAGGTATCGATTCAAATGGGAAGATCAAAACGTGGGGTTGGGCCGCAAATATATACGACTTTTTCGATCATTACCAGAAGAATAAGGTACAATTCTTTTCGATTTTCTGCTATTGTTGCCACATTTAGAAGTTGCAACCCGCGGATGTTGGCGTGCAATTTTTACCACTCAAGTCCGAGATCAATACAAGATCGAAAGAATTCGATGGATCAGGGAATTCTGATCCGTCTTACATGCCCGGAAATCGGTGCGTTTGTTGTTTTTATTAGAGAAATAAGGTACTTATTGTCTTGTTTCTTTAGAATTGTACCCACAAGGCACGGATTTTTGCCCCATATCCGACGACAAACGTTCGAACAAATTGGCAATACGTTACACATTCATAATGTAAGTTTATGTGTTTAGTTGTAAGTTTATCTGATTTTTTAGGCTGAAGCAAGGGCGGCTGGTGTGTATTTTTGCTATGATGACACCGCGATCAATTTGGTATACTTTCACAGCGGCAATGAAATTTTTACCCATGTTTAGGTCCGCTATTTCTATATTCTCCACGCAATGGCGCCGATCAATCAAGTGAAAAGAATTCGTTAGCTTTCAATGCTTCTAAAAATAAGCTTTTCTTCGTTGTAGTCAAAAGAAAGCGGATAATAGCGGAAACACATAAAAAGGCATTCAGAAGAAATTTGCGGGCTCTTTATGCAGGTCTTCGAATCTTCTAGTCCAAGTCTTCGAATAAGTTTTAAAAAAGGTTTGCCCAACCAGTTATGAAAACCTGATGAAAACTACCGTAAATACTGTAATAGTACTCCATCCCCATAATGACGGTGCGGAGTGTTCCGTGGTCTAGCTTTGGTTTTTAGCGGCACTGGTTTATGCTACAATTGCCCGCTTAGGTATCAAAAAATAGCTGAAATTCAAGGCTATTTTTGATAACCAAAATTCCGTTTTACTCATGTATCTCTTTCAATATTCCCTTTCACTTCCAAAATCGTCTCTATTTTCTTTCGCACCTCTATTCGTTTCTCTTTTCGAATTGACACAGCCGACCCCAGTTATGGAATTTTCCAAGAAACTTTTGACTCTATTGACATAAATGGTCGTTTTCTTTCTCTTCTTTGAACTGAAATTCATACTGTTCAATGGAACGAGAGTCATTGATTGATGAGAAAACTAGAGTTTTGTTTTTAAATGCTTTTGCAGTTAACACCATGTAAAGCACTTTGTACTCAAACAGTATCTCTTGATTTCTGGAACACTAAAATCAACATTGCTTTTATCCCTTTGCAATTTTTCACAGAGAACCTTGCCATTTTCTTTCCCAAAACCGAACTCATCTTTGAATGCTTTGAGAGAAACATTAATATACAGTAATCATTTTAAATACAGTTTAAGGACACTGCTTTGTTTCAATCACATAGGTGCCAACAATGTCCGAATACGATCCATTATTTCCCGCATTTTCTCCCGAGTGTTTGTATCTAAAAGACATTTTTTTAAACAGCTCCATTATCTCTTATTTTATCGCAATTCCAAAAGAAAGCTCGTAAATTAAAGTTAAAATAATCTCAGAATTCTCACTTAAAACAAGCCCTCCACTCGTTGTTCAATGTGAATTTCTTTCGGTTGAATTGTTCTCCCGGGATGTCCAACGACGGAAAGATTACCTAACGAAAAATTGAGACAAAGGCTTGAGTCGAACTTATGAACAGGCTATTCAAGTAGGTAAAACAAACCTGTTCATAAAACTCGTCAATCTTTTGAACACTCTTCGATCTTTCTCTTGTCCCACAATCGGTCTTCACTGGTTGATCCATGATCATCGTCATTAAAGTTGAACTAAAACGCAATTGACTTCTTTTATGTATGAATTTTCGCAAACAACTCTTACCTGTGCAATCTCACAAATGTCGTATTCTTTCCTCCAGAAAGCCTGAAAATGCTATCCAATCGAGACATCCACCTAAACTACTTTTTTAAAGCCACCTTATAACTCAGTAAAAAGTACCTCGTTGCTTTAGTACGGGTATTTTCCAAGTTAGTTTTCTTTTTACCATCGACGAGCTGCAAGACACAGTGTCCTAAATGATTTTAAACTTTTAAAATTCATCGAAACACCCCCACCCTCTCGGCGTTGATGTGTTCTTCCCGAATCGCATCTACTCCACGGCTCCCATCGAAAAGCCAACGCCACACCCGTGTAGAATGGTCTCTAAAACGTAAATATTAACTCTAAAAATGTGAAATTGAAGGCATTTCATTAGCTGGGGCATTTCGATTGATCGGCGTCATTGCGTGGAGAATATAGAAATAGCGGACCTAGACATGGGTAAAAATTTCATTGCCGCTGTGAAAGTATACCAAATGGATCGCGGTGTCCTCGTAGCAAAAATATACACCACCCGCCCTTACTTCAGCCTAAAAAATCAGCTAAACTTACAACTAAACACATAAACTTACATTATGAATGTGAAACGTCTTGCCAATACGTTCACACCATTGTGGTCGGATATGGGGGAAAGATCCGTTCTCTGTGGCCTGAATTCTAAAGCGACAAATTTTTTAAAACAAACAAGACAATAAGTACCTTATTTTTTAACAGAAAGCAATAAACGCACCGATTTCCGGGCATGTAAGACGGACCAGAATCCCCTGATCCATCGAATTCCGTCACTCCTGTATTGATGTCGAACCTGGATGGGAAAAATTGCACGCCAACATCCGCGTTTTGCAACTTCTAAATGTGGCAACAATAGCGGAAAATCGAAACGAATTGTACCTTATTCTTCTGGTAATGATCGAAAAAGTCGTATACTTTTGCCGCCGAACCCCACATTTTGATCCTTCTATTTGAATCGAGATCTCTAAAATTCGAACAGAACATTTCATTTAGATTCTATGGACGAAACTAACCGTTGACAAACTTTGCACGTGAAAGAAATATGATCGCCAGGCCAGTAATAGATGTGTTCTACCTAAAGAAACCTATATTTTTTATACAAAGTTTATATTAACCTTCATTGGAAGGCCATTCTCGCTACATTCAGCCACTTCGGCGGTTTTGGAACCATGATGAATATACCTTAAACGAAAAATTATTAAATTTTGTAATTTAGCAGAAGTAAAGGCATTGCTATCAGGTTGGCAACTAAATAATGGCCCTTTTCAGTAAAAACAAAAAATTTATTAACAAGATGAACAAATATCAACATCAATCCAAAAGGTATTCTCCGTCATTCTTTATTACTTCTTTCCACTTTTGACGGAGCAACTGGATTCCTCTCTTGAAAAATTCTTCTGGTTGATCGTCAAAGAACTTCTGCACTGAAATTCGGACTTCGTCAAGGTCATTGAACTTTTTCTCGGCTAGAAAGTGTTGCATCGATCGAAAAAGATGGTAATCACTAGGCCCCATATCCGGGCTGTATGGCGCATGAGGAAGAACATTCCAGCCCAACTCCTCGATTTTCTCCATTGTAAGTTTTGCAGTGTGTGGTTTTGCGTTATCATGGAGAAAATGAATTGAAGAGGGTTCGAGTCCTTGAGAGCGAATTGCTTGATCTACACGATGTAGTTGAGACGAATAGAGTTCTGAATTAACCGTTTGCCGGCTTTCGAGAACCTCGAAATGCACCAACCCACGAGAACTCCACCACACGCAGAGGAGAGTTTTCTTTGAGTGAATATCCGGCTTCGGAGTTGGTTTTGGGTCTTCGTTTGTGCTAAGCCACTGTCGTTTTCGCGTTCGATTATCATAAAAGATCCATTTTTCATCAGAAGTGACAATGGAATCCAAGAAGCTTCCATTTTTCGCAAGTTTTAGTAGTATTCCAGCTGTGATAACACGAGTAGCCTTATTTTCTTCGCTCAATTCATGCGGAATCCACTTTCCACTGCGGTTACTTTTCCCCAATGCATGAAGTCGCTTTTCGATTGCAGTATGCGAAAAGCCCAATCGATCCCCTAGCTCGCGTGATGTTTCACTTGGATCCTCCTTTAAAGCTGCTTCCAAAATATCGTTCTGCAGAAGTTCGGGTCGTCCTTGGCGAGGCTCATCTTCAAGACTTTCATCCCCTTCCTTGAACCGTCGATACCATCTCTTACATTGTGTTTCGGAAAGAGCTTCATCACCAAAAACTCGCAATAAATCTCTGTGGGATTCGGCAGCTGTTTTGTCTTGTTTGTAGTCGTACCAGAGACAGACACGCATTCGATATTTGAGATCTTCCATTTCTAAACAAAATTATTTGAAAAGTATCAAATCAAGGAAAGTAAAAAACGTATAATAATGCACCAGAAATTCAGTAATATTCAATTAACAACAAGCGAGGGTAGATTAAACGCAAAGATTAAAAGATTTTATCAAAAAAGGGCGAGGCCCATTATTTAGTTGCCAACCTAATAATTGTTATAGTACTACTGCATAAGTTTATTTTACGCTAAAAACTTAACTCAAACAAGTAACAAGCTGGAAATCCATTTATTTCTTAAACCCACAAACCTCCATAATCGAAACGATCTGATCTTGTCGGTATACGGGAAAGGGAAAGAATTCTAAAGCAAAGGAAGCTAAAAATTAAACATAAACATTGAATTTCAAGTTATTCTACGTACCAAAAAACGACAATTAGCTACACCCCAAACGGAAATCCTTTCGGATTGATCAGATCATCTAATACATTGTCTCCCTCGCGAATCACTGGTGTAGTAGTTGGCTAAATTAGTACTATAGGCTTGTGGGGGGGGGGGGGAGCACTTTCAAACCCAATGTTTTGAATGATTGTAATGATTTGATTTCCAAATGTGAGCAAAAACATCATGCTGAGTGCAACCAGTTGGGAAATCGTCGAATAGATGTATCCAAAAGGTGTTGAAACGATTACCAATCGATTCAGCCCATTTGATTTTCCTAGAAGAAAGAAAATAGGCTGAATCAATTGGTCGAAAAGTAGAGAGATTTCGAATGACGTGCTGACAATTTTCTTTCTTTTAGAGAAATCAAATAGGCTGAATCGATTGGTAACCGTTTCAACACCTTTTGGATACATCTATTCGACGATTTCCCAACTTGTTGCACTCCCACCACCTAGCATTATCTCTTTGCTCACATTTAGAAATCAAAAGAAATTGAAATTGAAACATGCTGGGAATACTCTTAAAATAGTATGAACTAGCTTAGCAGGCTTAGACTTTTTCAGAATAAAGGAAAAATACAATCATTCAAAAAATTGGGTTTGAAAGTGCTTCCCCCCCCCCCAAGCCTATAGTACTAATTTAGCCAACTACTACACCGGTGATTCGCGAGGGAGACAATGTATTAGATGATCTGATCAATCCGAAAGGAAGTCCGTGTTCCAAAGTTAAAAACGCATAAAGATATACCAATTTCGTCGTCTGATTACCGTCTTTTCTCGCGTTGACGAAAAGTCCTGCTCGAAACGACAAGAGAGTTGCTAACTAAAACAAAAAAAAATTTAAAAAGATAATGAAGTTTATTTTACAAAAAAACAACATTAAAAAGTACCAATACAAAAAGAGAGTAGAGGCGCTGAACGGGCATCATGATAAAATGATTTTAAAAAAATTTTTGA